CCTTCCGCTTCTCCGTACCTTGGGTTGTTTCAAACACTTCCCTGGCAGCTGCAAAGCTGATATAAAGCAGCAAAACTTCCACTGTGGATTATCAAGAACACTACTGAGGCATTGCTTAATGCATCTGATATCTAAGCCTGGATAACAGAAGCCATACAGCCGAGCAAAAAAAAAAAGATTGGCAGCTATTGCAGGAATTCAGATAGGGGCACCTTGGTACAGAGCAGGGGGGGAAATGCGTTTCCTTCCATTACAGAGCCCAGGGCTGAGATGGATTCTCTCTCCGTCATTGTCCTAAGCACATTATCCCTGAAAGAAAGAGGGTTTCTCTGAATCTGCAATTTTTCTAGGCTTCAGTGTTATTGAAATGAAACCGCTTCAAGGATATCTACATTCCTTACCATCATATGGATTCTCATCTCATGTAAATTATTTGGCCACTTTTCATTTTAATCCTCCACTGTCATTTTCTACAAAAGAGATCATTTGGTTTCTTCGTTGAAGGTATTCAGCTGACAGCTGCCCTTTGTCTAGAAGGCAGTATGCCTCTGCAGGATTTACTTATGCCTGCTTTTTTTCTTCTTTTCTTTTTTCTTTTTTTCTTTTTCCTTTTTCCTTTTTTCTTTTTTTTTTCCTTTTCCTTTTCTTTCATTTAAGTTCATATTGCTTCATATTTTTCATCTTACATTTTCAGGAACTGTTCAGATTGTCCACAGGCTGTGGTTTGTAGCTGTGAAGAGAAATTCAGACATCCCACATTCTTTCCCTGTCCCTTAGCAAGGGTATACCTGACTGATAAGAAACAGAACTGAAGGCAGATTAATTAATTTCCTGCTTGCAAGAAGAACCAGAGTAGAAGAATTCACAGTGTGTTGACAACTTCTACATGAGCAAACCAAACCAGTCAATGATGAAGTATTGAATTTTTTGCCATGGCTTCCCTCTCTTGAAAACTCAGTTATTCCAGAAATGTTGGGAAGTTTTAAGCGTTGTGCTTTGTGTCATGGTATGTCACCCAAAAGTCCTGTTAAGACCTCAAAATAAGTGATGGGAGCAAAATGTGAATGTGTTAGTAGAATATCTGTTCAACCAAGGACCAAGTGACAGGACAAGGGGAAATGGCCTCAAGTTGTGCCAGGGGCAGTTGAGATGGGATGTGAGGAAGAATTTCTTTGCTGCAAGGGTTCTGAGGCATTGGAAGGGGTTGCCCAGGGCAGTGGTGGAGTCCCCATCCCTGGAGGGATTGAAGAGTGGTGTAGACACAGTGCTGAGGGACATGGGTTAGTCAGGGACTTGTCAGTGTTGGGTTCATGATTGGACTTGATGATTATAAAGGTCTTTTCCAATCCAGGCAATTCTGTGTATATGGAGAATTTGGAGGCTAAGGATCAAAATCAGCCCTTATGGTTGGGGTTGAATGGTTTTGGTTACCTGTAGCTATGAGCTTTTCCTTTCCACTTGAAAACTCCCGAGTTTGATCTCTTCTCTGATACAACCAGCTTGCACTCTGTCAAAGGTTAAAAGCACAATATGGTGATGGAGAAGAATATTATCAGAAGAAGTTGAGGAGAAGATACAGTTTTGGGGAGCATGAGTTGAGGGATAGACAAATTTTTTGGCACCTTGAAAATATATGGGAAGGAGGAGGCACATCATTGATGTGGTTAAGGAATGAGCCAGCAGGTGGAAGGAGAAGGAAGTACTAAAATCACCGTGCCAACTACAGAAATCAAATTTAACTACTTAGTTTCCTTCCATGTCCCCTCTGACACCTGCTTAGCTTTGTGATCTCCGTGATAAAGTCTTATTTACCTGGAGAGCTGCCTGAAAACTTCTCCAATTTTTTTATAGAACAGGCTTTCAGGATGAAAAGAGCTTCAGAGTTTCAAGTGGGAATCACTTTTCTTGAAGAAACCCTCAGATATTTACATTAAAAGATAAGACGTTTGTGTTAGAATTTAAATAAAATGTTTCAGAACGATGAAAATTATCTTTTGATCCAATCAAATAAGAATGTTGCTAGCTTAGTCAGTTCTAAGAATTACTGTTTCAGTAGGGAGTTTTTTCTAAATCACAGAAATGATTGGACTACACAAAGAAAACTTCCTCATTTGCCAGAAGACACGTCTCATTCATTGTCCAGTTCTGAAAACTAGCTCCATCACAGGGTGATTTCCTGTTATCCCAGAGAACTGTGAACTTAAACCTGAGTTTTGTTGTTATTAGAAAACGTGAGCTTTTTGCCAGAGCCAACAAAAACCTTTGGCAGTCAGTGGCTTGCTGAAAGGATAATGGTTAGTTACGTGCCAAGAGAAGGATCGCTGGTGGCTCCTGTGTTGTCTTTTCTTCATTCATTGGTGTCTCCATTTCTTGCATCAACATAAGAATGGGCAGCTCAAGTTTACACCATTTCTTAATGTTCTGTATTTTGTCATTTCTTCCATAAGGTTAGACATTGTCTTGCAGTTTTGTTGACCACAGGTGATCTAGTTCCATCGTATTGAATGATATCAGGGTTTTACCTTCTGGTTTTACTGCGTCACCATGTAGATCTGTCAGGTTTTCTAATGTTATAGATTTTCTTTCGTGGTGTTTGTTCTTGACTTTTGACAAGTATCTATAAACAAAGTAATATTCAGCAAAGGGAGTCCATAAAAGAGCTGTTATGGTTACCAAAATTTGCTGAGTTAATTTTTGTACACGTAGTGATGACCTGAATTCTTGATTAGGACTCCAGCTCATATGATACATTCGTGTAAATCATAGTACAGCATTTTTCAGTTTGTCTTGACATTCCTTTATCTCATGGCACTTAAAAAAGGAAATAGTTCTTGGCTCTGGGCAGAGAGTGGAGTGCTCTGTTTTGTAGGTGTGAGAGCTGAGACACGGGCATGAAGCAGCTGGACTGGGATCCTGAGCTTCTACTTCCAAGAATAACTACTAGAAAAAACATTTTCTAGTCTGTTTTCCAAGCTTTCCTTTCTCCAAAAAACCTTTGTATAGAACATGACCTCTTTGAATAGGAATTTGCAAGTTAAGATAGGCACATATAATATACATATAATATACATATAATATAATATACACATATAATACACATATAATAAAAGAAAGGATGATATGTCTGGAAGACAAAAGGATATATTTTAAAAAATACCATTCCCAGAGGCTGGAGGTACTGCTGAAAACAGAAGGGAACAAAAATCTCTTGCTGATAATTCAGGGAG